TAATTAGACTTAATTGAATTACATGAAATAATTGTAATAATCATTGAAAGAATGTAATTAACACATAAAGGAAAAATTTGAAAAAACTTAAAATAATATTGAACTTTAGATTAAAGATAGCAATAAAGACACTAATAAAAAGGAAGAAATTCAAGAAGAAGTTAATTTAGATAAAGATATTGAAGCCTTATCAAAATATTACAAGGGCAATAAAGAATATGAATTACCTTAAGGAGAATAAGACTTAAATTCTATTTCATAATTAATAGAAAATGTATAAAATCAAATTGGATCTATTTCAAATGCTTATTAATATTAAAAGATTTTAGAATCACTATAAAATATAAAAATTCAATTTTAGATTAATATGTCATCTGATAAAGATATAAAGGTAAAATTTTTATAAATATTATATACATAGATTTGTGAACAACATGGTTTAGAAATTATAATGGTCAATATAGAATAAGGTCAAGAAGAACATAAAAGGATAGCATGTTCAAAATGTATATAAGAGATTCCTTAAAACTATACTACTTTAGAGGATGCAGATGAAAATTGGACAAAGTTTAAACTTAAATCCAAATAAATGATATCAAAATATAGTAAGGATAGGGAGTCTAAATTCAATTAAGCTATTGAATTTATAACAAACTTAAGAGACAAATATTAAGAAATCTTGACAAAAATCATTAATGATTTAGAAAATAATAGAGTTGTTACAGAAAAACAATTATCACCTTTTCCTTTATATTAGAAAAATATTTATTAATTAGATGAAAATCAACTAAAAGAAATATTGGAAGCACTTAGTCAAAAAGATTTATATCTACAATTAAAATTAAAGTTATAACAATAAGATTAATTAGATTCAATTTTTTATCATAAATTAAAAGAAACCTTAGAGAATCTGATGAAATATGATCTCCTAACAAAGGAGTAAATAATTATGATTGAAAATAATTATAAAAGTATTATAAATTTGATATTTAGACTTTTTAATATTGAATGAAGATGAGAAATAACATATTTCTAGTTGTGATGAAATTAAATAATTTTTGGAAAATACCTCATTGCTTTAATCTTATATGAATATATTTGAAGATTCTATTTAATTATATCAAAATTTGTAAAATTAGGTTGAAAGCTTAAATGAAAAAAGTGATATATTTAAATAACTGAAATAAAAATAAAAACCAAAAAAGAGCGGAAAACAAATGGATCAAAATCAGCATTCAGATTAAAAATATATTTTATAAAGATAATATTCATTATTTGATTAAATTTCAAAAAAGTATAAGCAATTGTTGATTGTATACAAAGATCAGAATTTATTAACCCAATTATAATAGGAAAAATCTGAATTATCAGATAGACTTAAATAGGAAATAAATATTTAAACCTAATTGAAGGAAAACATTTAGAAATTAGAAAATCAAATTTAAAATTTATAATCAGATTTAGAAAAATAAAAATAACAATTAGAAAAGACATTAGTGAATTTAGATCAAAAAAATGAATCTGAAAAACAGTTAATGGGGAAGTTGTAACAAGAAACTTAAAAGTTTGAGGAACTAAAAAAGAAATCTGATGAATAAGACTAAAAGAACAATTCAACAATTGAACTTTTAAATAAAACTATAACTGATCTTAATTCATAAATTAAAAATAATTAAACTAATTTGCAATCAAAAGATCAATAAATTACTTCAATTTAATAATAACTTTAAAATTCTCAAAATTCATTCAATAAATTACAATAAACATATAATGATCTTATAAAAGAAATCAAAGCAAAACCAAATCTATTAACAGATGCTTATTTTTAAAAGATATTATAAACTATAGAAGAAAAATCAAGATCAGTTATTAAATGTTCAATACTTGTTTATTGTGGATCAAAAGATGGATTAAATCATACTTAATTTTGGAATAAAGTATATGGCAGAAGAAATTTATTAATGGTTTTTAAATCTAATACAAATTTCATTTGTGGGGCATTTTCACCATGTTAATGGCTATAACATTTAGGAAATTATGTTTTAGATGACACATTATAGTCATTCTTATTTTCCTAAAATCACAATTAAATTTATCCTTTAAAAGCTGCTAATAAAGCACAGGCAATTTATTGTATTTCATCATACGGACCTACTTTTGGTTCTGGTCACGATTTATATATACCTTCAAATTTTAATGGGGCTTCCTCTAGTTTGGGTTCAGCATACTAATGTGATTAATATGGAAGTATTTCAGGATCAACTCATTTATTTAGTTAATCAAGTGTTTAAATTATTGAATGCGAAATATATGAAATAGTCTTTAAATGAATTTATCATAATAAATTATCGAATATATTCAATTTTCTATATTTAATTATCTATCAGAATTCTAATAAAAAAACTTATACAAAGAAAAAATCTATACAAAAACTAATAATATACTTTAAATTATTCTTATAAATTTTATTTAATATCCTTAAAATGAATAATTTAATCATTAATTATATTTGTATTTTATTTTTAGAACTCAGAATCTAAAATTAATACTATTAATTAAGATTCTGAGCTCTAAAAATGTAAAGTGCAATAATTTAAGTTACGATATGATTATTCTTATTATAATACTTATAAATTATTTTTACATGAAAAAAATGAATATTATTTGTCTTTCAATAAATTAATCCACGCATAATTTTTAGAATTTGATAAAAGAAAGATTTTAGATTACATTAATTTTGAATAAAATTTATAGTATGTAATCATAACATGCATAGAGTATTTCTACTGGATATCTACTCCAAAAAAACTATATTAATAAACTTTATACACTTTCAGATAGTGTCTGTTAATAAAGAAAGATTGTTATTCCCAAATAAATCAGTTTAGATAAAGAATAATTATATGAAGAGTTAATTCGAGAGAAATAACATAATAAGGCTTTGTAAAATGAAATAAATAAACTAAAAGCAAGGTTATAATGTTATGAAAAGGATTTAGTTATTTAAGGTGAGGTGGATTATAAAAGGGAATTAAAATAAGCATTAATAAGATTGAAAAATAGGGAAGAAGAAGTTATTGAATTGATGTAAAGCACAAACTATAAAAAAGTTATTGAGTTAGAGAAAACAATTTAATAATTAAGATTAGAATTAGGGAAATATCATTTATATTAAAAGTTTTCAGGAAACACTGAGTCAATAATTAATGATAATATAGAATTATTCTAAAAATTATAATAATCGACTTAATAAATCAAGGAATTAGAGAAAATAAAAGTAGATCATTTCTCAATTTCTAGAAAACATCAATAATTATAACTTGTATTATAAGCAAAAGATTAATAATTATAGAAATTTAGAGAAAGAGATCATTTAAGTGAAATGAATGTAAAGCATTCAAATAAAAATGAATTTTAATTGAGAGAAGAATTAATAACAAAAGATGAAGAAATATCACATCTCAAAAATTAATTGACTATTGCTAGAAAAACAAATGTAGAAGATAAAGCACTTATAGAATAAACATAACAAGAACTTCAATAAAAAATAAATTAACATGAATATGAGAGACAGAATTATAAAGAGAGGATAGAACATTTATAAAAAGAAATATAATAATTATCTGAAAAAGCAAGAAATTTTGATAGATATTTGACTGTAAATTAAAAGAGAAAAACTACATATGTTGATGATTAATAGTCAAATTCTTAATATACCTAAATTTAAGATAATGATTAAATGGTGAAAAGTGTATAAAAAAGCTAGGTTGAAGATATAGTTACTGAATTAAAATTGACATTAAGAAAAAATAATATATCCTTATAAGATGCAGAAAAAGTACTTTTACAATTAATATTAGATATTATTTAAAGGTAATGAAATATCAATCTAAGAGTTGGAGTAATTATTAGGAAGAGAACCATTTAAAGTATTAAGTTCAAATATGTTAGCTAGGTACATGATAGAGGATATTTAAGATAAGTATATCTTTTTTTATTATATTTAATAGAGAATTCGAGTATAATCCTGAATTGAAATCTTCAGTACCTCATGTTAGAAGTGTTTTTCGAACATTATTGTAACACTATTCATTAAATTTTGATGATTAAACTCTTTAAACAGTTGCTAAGGCTTGCTTATAAATATTCGAATTTTGCACAAGAAAAAATATTTCTAAACTTAATTAATAAGAATTTTTGGATAGCATATCACAATTAGATTTATAATGGAATTCAAAATGCTTTGATTGTTTTCAGCAATTATATTATAATAAATATAAAGGGTTCCTGCAATTTGATATCCAGAATATAAAAAAATTATTTGAATAATATTAGATTTAGTGATTCTTTGTTATAAATTTCTATGTTATAATTTTATAAATTAATTAATATTTAAAATCGCTAATTAATAATTTATTTAATTTTCCTTATAAATTATTATTCAAAAGGAATTTTCATAAAAAATATAGATACATAAAATTAGTCATTATATTTTAATTGTAAATATCAAAAAAAGTCTTATTAATTTATACAGAGAAAGACATATAATTTATCAAAATATTCTTATAACTTTATATTTATAATAATTTCATACATTTTTATATATTATAAAATAACAATTTATGAGTAAAACATTATATTATATCAAATATAAGAATTAAAGCTAAATTTTTGCTTTTCCAGTTAATTTATAATCTTTTTTTTAGTAATGATTTTGACAATTAATCTAATATTATCAAGATATATGAGAAAAGAAAGTCCCTAAATAAATATAATTATTTTCTATAAAGAATTGAATTCATAATAAAAATTTAATAAATAATTTTACTCATCTAAAAGTAAATTAAATCATACATAATACTTTATATAAGTTTATTTAATATATTAATGATGCTTGGTATACAAAAGAGTACCACTAAAATGGATTTTTTAATTTTACCAAGCCAAAAATATTTTGTTTAAATTTATGAAAATATATACAACCATGAATTCAAAATTGTTCATTAATTCACTTCATTCAATAAATTTGTAGTCTTTTACTATACTTCTACATTAGATACTTTGGATCTACATTATTTAATGAGTATACTTTTTATATTATACTTCCTTAATATCTAACATCGAAAGAAACACTTTCTTTTTTGATGTTTTATTTTGGTCATTAACTCCATCTTATTATTGTTTAGGGGCTCTAATAATTTTTTTTTTCTTTAGGGTGTTAGCTTTTGCTTAAATAAGAGGAGTATCCTCATTTTTTGAAAGTTAAGAGTATAGAAATTCAGCTTAATTTGGTATTTAGTTATTGGTTGATTAGAAAAGCTAATTTTGAAAAGCACAAGCACTATAATTTATTATTATTTGAGTACTTTAACATTTGATTGTACATTAGCATTTATTGCTGGATGTATTATTATTAAAGATAAAAGTTTTCATGGAAATAGGTAAAGCAATGCATAATTAAATTATAAGTGTATTATTAATAGAAAAAGATTTGGTTAACAGAGTTTTATATAAAAAAATCATGCGTCATATTGTTACTTACATATGATCTTGCATAATAATAATAATAATTATTATAATAATTAATATTTGATTTGCTATAAATATTAGCATTAATATTATAAAGTGAATTGTTAAAATGACAATAATGCAAGTATGATTTTCATAAATTATAAATAAAATTATTTTCTTATTATAATCATATCTTTGCTTTCGTAAATGAGATCTAAATATTTCTTCCATCAACTTCTTCATTGTGCATTAAAGCCATAACTTCTAAAGCTTATTTTAAGCTTTCCATCTTGACTAAACACATAAATTTAAACTAAGAATTCAATACTTTAACAGCCTAAATTAATAAAAGGAATACTTCCACTACTCCATATTCAGAGAAGATATCCCACATTGTTTCTGCATTAGAGGAAACCTTTTTAAGATTTGAGATATGAAGAACTTAACTTGGAGGTAATAATATCATTTTATTATTTGCATTAAATCTAAATTTAAAAATATGTATACCTATCTGTATCTTCAGAGCCTATATAATAGTCTTGTTCTCTATAAAGGGTATCTAAACCTACTAGTTTCTCAATAGAATCATCAGCTGCGAATGTGATCGATAAGTTGCTTTCGAAAAACTGGATATTTTGGCAATGTTAATAAACGAAATAAGCCTAATCTTCTTTCAAATATTTCACTAAAGCAAAATTCTTCAGACTATAGATGAGTTATAAAAATTTATTACTTAATTAATATAATTTTATCTATGTTACCGAAATTGCTAAAGATATTGTAAATTTTTAGTGCATCCAAGTCTTTGCCTTAAATGCCATTCAAACAGACTGTTTTTGTTGATTAAATGTTTTTTGAAGAGGGAATAAGTTTTTAGCTAATTGGCAGTACAGTTGCGCTTTAAGGTTTTGAATCAGCATCATTTATGACTACAATTCATATAACTTTAAAAAATACTTTCATTCAATGAAGTAGAATGTCTATTTTTGAACGTGCTGGATGTGGTATCCTCAATAGTCTCAAAGGATCCAACTGTAAACGAACCTTGTAATTTATCTTCTTAATAGTAGGAGCACTTTATAAAGTTTGATGATAGCTGATCTAAAGCCTTTTTTGCATTTTTAGCTGCATCTGTATTAGCCATCTCAACTAACACTCTACATTCCATTAATGATCGATTCAAAATTTTAACTTAGAGGACTGGCCCATACCTTAGATATCAAAAATTGCAATTACTGATTCATCAAAGAGCTAAAGTATTCAGGATTCAAATTTGAAGGCGGAGCAGTTAGAGTGAGTAATAAAAAATGTGAATTATGGAGAGATTCTGGCAAATTTGGTGAAGAGTAGCTAAACATATATACTTATTTATTTAATAATTTTCATTTCCAGTTTTTATTTCAAATATTAATATCTTCCAAAGTTGGATCCTTAATTATAGATTTATCATTAATAAATTTCTTTAGAACAATGGAACAGATCAATCATTTTCATAAAAATTATTAATTAATATCAATATCTAATATTTATCTGCAATTGTTAATTAAAACTAAAAAAATCGTATGTAGAAATTTATTCAATTTTATAGCAGATATTTAATTGTAGAACAGTTATATCCTTTTAAAATGTATTTATTGTTATTTTTCTAAATTCATTCATTATAGTGAATTACTTAAAAAATTAATAATAATTTATAAAAAAAATGTTGAATATCTCATTCATAATTATGATTGGCTTTTGGATTTAAGTTAGCTTTAAATAATTTATTCTTATTTATTATATTTGTTCACTGGATTTTATAAAGAATATGTTGTTGAAAAATTCACTTTTGCTTCATTATAAGATGTAGTTTCATCCTGCTCTTCTTATTTAAACCAACTTTCAACAAAATATTACATAGGCAAAACAGAACTTAAAAATGAAACCAAAATTGAAGCAATAGCCCAATAACTGGTACTTCCAGTTATTTAATAATTAAAAATTAAATATCCTGCAGCATAGATAATAGGTAAATATTCCATCATTTCTGTCATCAATATTGATAATTAAACAGATGGAGTATGTTTTACAGACATTCTATAACATATTACATACTAAATTTTATTAATTATTTTATACCTTTTCTGCAACATAATATAATGCCAAACCTATAAAACTAGTAATATATCCAGCAGGAGTCAATGGAGTATAGAAAAATGTAATAAATAAAGTTTTCATAATATCAGCATATTTTAATTCAATCATATGCTCACTATGTTCATATAATTCATTTAATTCTTTTTAAGTGACAGCTTTGTTAAATTTTTTAATCCACCATAATTTTAAGGATTTTGTAATTCTATTTGGATCAATAAAAGTAACCAAAGGAGGTATTATAGCATTAGTTATAAAAAAATAGGTTTCTGTATAAATGAGACCTCCTGGACCAAATAAATTACGAGTATATATTGTACTTGCTAAAAATGCTATAATAGCTGAATTAACAAATAACATTAATGATAATTTTGAAGCTAATGATACAGTATAAAGTGAATAAGTTTCATAACTTTCAAAACCCACTAAAAAATTAGAAAGACGTCCAACAACAAAAGAATTTATAAAAGTAGTTAATAATGCTGCAATTATTGAACCCATATTCTTAGATTTTTATTAAGAAGGTAAAGAAACTTAAACAATTCCTTAATCAGTTTATACTTCAACCAATGTAGCTGGAACATTTGAAGCATCTTATGCTTAAATTTTAGCTAATTCTAACAATATAATCAAGAACAAAGCAATTACAATTTAAGAAAATGTAAAACCAAGTAATCTTACCCAAAATCTTCTATTATCATTATGTACAATATTATCCCAAATAACATCTCCAGGTTCAGGAGCTTAATCAACTTTTATATATTAATTATTAATCTCTAAACTCTTAGCCTCTTAAATTATACATCCAAAAAATATATTAGAAATAACTTATTATGTTCTATAATTTGAAGATTTTAAAATTGCTTATTTGTGATCTTCATATTTCAAAGATAAAAAAGCTGTTCCAGAGAATAATTCAAAGTCTTATTATATTCTTAATGCTTCAGTAGTGATCTAGTTTTATTTTTGCTTTTTTTATTCATTTAAATTTATTAATTGATCATTATCATTAGTCTCTAAAGCAATTTTCTATTATTTTACTATTACTTCCAATTCTTATTCTAATTCTTTAAGAGTATTAGCAAAGAATATATAATCTATTTCCATAACTTCTACATTAAATTTATTTTCAAAAAATTCTTTTAATTATTATTATTTGCAATCCTTAGGAATATCTTTAACAATTAAAGTATAATCAGATGGTGTATTTTCTTTAATATCACAATCATTGTCTATGATTAATTGAGATTTCCTAAAAAAGAAAATAATAATTAAAATGAAGATGACACTGGAAAAATTAAAATAATGAGGTAACTCAGTCAAAATTGATTAAAATCTTTTATTTGCTAATGATGATCGTGCAATCCAATCATTTAAACAATAATTATGTACTTATTCACTCCAAGAATCTTCTTTTTAAACTTCTTTATATCTATGTTGCACTTAAACGACTAAATCTTCACAATCATTGCTTGTTAAATTAGAAACAAGTTAATATTATCCTGATGTTAAGAACAATACTCCAACAATCATAAGACAACATTTTATGAAATTAAAGTATAGTGGATAACCTGATCCAAGAAAAGAAAAGGCCATCTCATCTCTTTGAAAATCAATTTGTGTTTTTTCCTATAAATATTCAAGGTAAAAACATTACTATTTGTTATTTGCAACATGGACAAATATTTACTGTCTATCCTTCTTTAAAAGGCTTAGGAATACCAACTTTACAAGCTAACTAAAAATGGATTCAAAAATACTTAATGTTGCTCAGCAATTATTTAATTTGGAGGAATCATATATTCATCATATTAATCAGATGTATAAAACTCTAATTATCCATTTTTCAAAGTGGCTGTCATCAAAAGTTATTGTGTATGTTGGTCGCTCACTTGCATTATGTATATTTGAATTTGAGAAATTATTGATTGATTTAATTTAAATGGATTTTCAATTTCATTTGTAATTTATATACTAATCAAATAAAAATGTTTTATCTTATAAACAAAACAGCGTTGTGTTAATAGATTTTTGATTCTTTTCAAAAATATATGAATTTAATATATACTTATAAATAAATAAAATAGAAATAAATGAATTTAATTCCAATAATTAATTCTGCTTACTATTAATTTGAAGTGATTTGACAATGTTATGAAAAATAATATCAATTTTAGACTATTTTTTTATTTTTTTACATATGGAAATATTAGAAGCATTCATTAAAATAAAGAATAGCATATCTACTTAATTATAATTTAATATTCTAAATATATTCATAATGAACTCTTAAAAATAGAATTTTTGTGGTAATTCTGCAAATTATGACTCTTTTTGGATTAAATCTCCTTAAAACAATGTTATTATATAGCAAGAAGAGTTTTTTATAGTTTTAAGATAAAATAATCTGAAAATGAAGAAACTAAAAATTGCTGAACATTTGATAATTTATTCAAAAACAGTAAACATATTTCTAATACAAGAAATCCATTAATTGTTTAAATTGCTAACTTGAAAAAGTCAAAAATTCTTTAGTAATTTAATAAGGTTTAAAAATTAGCAAATAAGGAAAATACCTTGAAATATTTGGAGAAATAGATTAATTATATGATCATTTAAAGAAATACTGTGTATAAGTAAATTTTTTACAGATTTATAAATTGTGTTCTGTCAATGTTGAAAAAGAAAAAAAAAAAGTTATAATATATATAAAAATTTAGATTTATAAGATCCGTCATCGAGTAACCAATGAGGAAAAAATAGCAAAGGTTTATGAATTAGATGGAGGAGATATGTAATAGATAAATAAAG